CCATGGCACCCCCCGGCTGGCCCTACAGATGGCGACACCCCCATCCACGGCTGCAGGCGGCCCCATCTGCCAACGGCTCGGATTGCTATTGCGGGCTCCCAGCTCTGCCGTGGCCCGAGGCAGTGTAAGGCGATCTGGCTGCCCATGGGGCTGCGGCCCTCACGGCAGCTGAGCCAGATGGGCCCGGGAGTGGCCGAGGAGCCGCTGGGGCCCGGACACAGGACGCTGGGGAGGTGCGCGCGGCTGCGGTCCCGCTTTTCCCATATTGGCACTGCACATGATTGCTCAGAGCGGAGAGACACAAGCAAAAATGTGCTAGTGCCAAAATCGGCCAAGCAGGTGGGAAGTGTGGCAGGCCCTCTGGGGACACACTGGAGGGGTATCCCTTGCGCCGCCCCCCACCCCCGCAGCCATTTCCGACGTCCAGGCTGGATGGGGCCACGGGGTGAAGAGTGTTCCCGAGACACTCGCGGATCTGTCTCTGCTCTGTTTATGGCCCTTCGGTAATTCACTGACCGAGACTGTTCACAGTGAATTCTACCAGTGCCATACACAGAACAGGAGTCACGCTCTCGGCCCGCCGGCCCTGCGGAGAGACGCCCAGCCCCGCTCCCCGCCACCCTGGCCAGGAGGTCCAGCCTGCCGCCAACCCGCAGTGGCCCTCCTCACCCCACGCCTCCGCCACCCTGACCAGCCTGCTCTCAGCCCAAAATGACTTTCCGGGAGCAGGGATGGGGGGGTGGGCAGGACACTCACAGCTAGGGGGCGGGCGGGGCGTCTCCTGTCTCAACCTGAAAGCCTGCCCACTGTCCCTCCACCCTCACCCAGCCCACCCTTCCTCAGGCCGAGAAGGGAGAAAATCCAGCTCAGGGTAGCAACCTGCTGGCTAGATCCTCCTCTCTGCCCATCACACCAGGCCCCAAAGGGGCAGCGACCAGTGGGACATCAGGGTGCCTCTCCTGACCTCTGAGCAGAGAACCCTCCTGTTCTAAGATGTCTTGATCTCCACCATCCTCCAGCCCCCAGCCTGCCGTGTGGCAGAAACAGCCCCAGGGCCAAACCAAACCTGCTGCTCCCTGGGGTCCCATCCCAAACCAGACCTGATCCTGAACTGCCCTGGCTGGGCATCTCTGCAGCCAGCCTGCGGCCAGGATAGCAGGGCAGGATAGGTGGGCAGGAAGTTCCCTGGCCAAGGAGGCAGCAAGGAGGGAGCTGGAGGCGCGGCTGCCTCCCAGCAAGGGGAACAGCATCTGGCTGGCTTGGAGGGGACTGCAGAGGAAAGCAGAGGTGAGGGAGGCGAGGGAGGGGCTGGGGAGGTTGCATCAGTGGTTGCCAGAGTGGCTGCCTCGAGAGAAGTCACTGTGGCAGCTCCTGCCTCTGGTGCCCAGCACCCTGGGGAAGAAATGAGGGAAGGAGAGAGAGGGTCGGTCTCAGGGGAGCTGGTGCCCAGGCAGGAGGGCTCCGCAGAGCGGCAGTCTCAGCCTGCTCCAGGCTTCAGTGGGGACCAGGGGGCAGAGTGGCTAGAAAAGCAGCCTGGAAGGCTCAGAGAACAAGTCTCCTGGCCCAGAAGCTATCAAAACCCCCGTGGTGATGCTCCTCCCAGTGACCCCGGGGCTGCTAGGAGCCACTCTGCCTCCCAGCACCTATTCTAAATCCTCACCCACTCTGCCCTCATCACTTGTGTGCAAAGGAACCCAAATCACTGCTCAAGCCTCCACCTTCCCCAGGCCCCCAGGGAACTCCTCATCCTGATTCAACACAGGCCCACTGCTGGGCCCCGGGCTGCCACAGGCCACCCCAGCTTGCTGGAACGGACATCTTCGAAGGCACTCCCTGGGACTCCGCCTCAGTTTTCAGCGACACAACTGTGAGCTCGGCTAGAGAAAAGAAGGGACAGAATACCTCCCACCCCGGGGGTGGGAATGTTAGTACAGCCTGTAGGCCAAGTGGAGGTAGTTCTCAAAAGAGCTCAGGGTGTAACCCAGCAGACTTACCCAAGGGGCCCCTGAAATGCAGATTAGTGGGCGCACTCAGAAATCTGCATTTTAATAGGGACCCAGGCAATTCTGCCCCCAGGGGTGCAGCCCTTCTTTGCAAAATGTCTGGGAGCTCTTTCTGAGGCGGTCACTCTAAACTATCAGAAGGCTTACCCCAGGGGTACTTACACAAACAGCCCTAAATTCCTTTTTCTTTCTTTCTTTTGGGAGCTGGGGGTAGGTAGAGGTGGATGTTGGGGGCAGGGGAGCACCGGACACTAGCCTGGCACCAGGCGACCAAGAAGCAGGTAGAGGACAGCGATTATGGGTCCTGCTCTCCCTGGTCCAGAAAAGGGAAGGTAAAGAGGGCTGCAGCAGGCCTGGGGGCTTGTTCGGGCTCCTTCTAATTGCGGCATCCATGGAGACACTTGGTCTGTTTTCCTCATCTTTGCAGCTGACTTGGGTCTCTGTAAGCAGAGAATAGCTTAAAAGCCAAATCCCCTTGCAGCTTCCCGTTGGAGTGGCAGAGCTGGGCCAGGCTCCTCCCCTGCGCCTGCCTCGCCCCTGCTAAGCCCAATGCGGCAGGACCCAGTGCCGCAGTGCTGGGGCGGTGCCATCCCGCCGCCCCGCCACCGAGGTCAACCCCCAGAGCCCTGCGCTAACCTCTCAGCTCTCCTCCACTGGGAGATGCTCAGACCTGAATCCTAGGGGAGCATGGTCTCCCAGCTCTCCTGAAATGAGGGCCAAGGGGAGCTGGGACGATATAAGCAGCAAAAGCCTCATTTGAACCATCAAAAGGGAAAAACCAAGGCCTGTGGTTCAAGGGGAATCTTCAGAGCAGCCTCCTCTGGCCTAGTGGGAAGCGGGGAGGGCAACCTGACACAGCCCTGACCTTGAGATCCAAAGGCACAGAAATTCACGTTGGGAGAGGGAAGATGAAGTAAGGTCTGGAAGCAGGTGAGTCCCTGTCTCCCACCCTGGCCAGAGGGAGAGCATGACAAAGAAAAGAGCTGCAGAGCTGGTGTAGCCTAAAGGGGACCCAACCTGTGGGCCAGGTAGGAAGGCTGCTGACACGAAAGCCACCAAAGCACCTGGAGTACTTGAGGATCTCCTGTGTGTGTGCCCTACACACACCACCCCACCCTCTTCGGCCCCACCCTCCAGAACTCCCTGGGGACCATCTTCAGACACTCCTCTAGAGGTTTCCCTCCCTCCGCAGGTCTCACCCTCCCGAGTTCTAACAGCTCAGGGGACGAGGGGGTCGCTGGGACACCGGGCCTGAGTACTCTGAGATTGCCAGTCTTTGGCCATCACAAAGCGCCCCCATGGCTCTCCACTTGACAAGTACACAACGATTCCAGAGTCCAGGATCTGAGCTGCACCACCCACAACGGGCCAGGGACAGGTCTCTCTGGTTTCCAACGAATGCCCCAGGCCCAAGGGGCTAGAGGCTGGGAGCAGCTGGGGCCCTCAGCCATGCCTAGGGCCCGGTGCCTGCCCCCTATCTTCCCAGAGGCCCTGGAGGAGGCACCCAAAGCTGCTTTCGTCGCAGCCCTGGCCAACAGAGCTCCCACCATTAATGGGAGCCGCTGGGGCTGTGCGAGCTCCGCCAGGAGCCACTGCACCCCTTGACATGCCTGGTAGAGGTAAAGGAATAAACGAAATTCTCGCATTCTGGACCTGGGATTTTTTTCTCCTTTGCATAAGGTGGATTCCAGAGGTTCCCCTAACACCCCCCCCCCCGCCCGCGGGACAAGAGCGTTAAGGAAACCCGCCGCTGAGACTGCAGATCAGGGGCTGGATCCGAACCCACAGCCTCGGGGCGCATGCGCTGGCCTGATCCGGCTGCGAGCCGGGTGTGGGCCACGCTCATTTGGGTGCGCTCGGTCGACGGTCAGGACAGAGTTCTAGGAAGGCTCAGTCCCCGCTCGGAGACCCGACGACTCGGGGCGGGTTGGGCTCACTGCAGGAGGTGGTGCACACCGGGTGGAGCCCCGTGACCCGGCCAGAGGACCAGGGGCGTAGCGCAGACATCCGCCACCTGGCTTCCAGGAGGAAAATCGGGCTTTTAATCCTCTAGAGCTTTACGAGGCCCCACAGAACGCAGGGAGGCTCGGTCCTCACCTAAACGATGGGGGTGGGGAGGTTGATTAGGGCAGCGCCGGCTCGCGGCTGCTAATCGCTCTGAGCCTGTATTAACGCCCCCAGCCCCCAGCGGGTACGTCTAAACGCAGGGTAGGGATGCCAGGGCTGGGGGAAGGGACAGCGAACGGCTGAGCCCAGAGGGTCCCGCGGAATCGGGCGATCCCTGACCCCCGGACGGCTCTCTGGCAGCCCAGTTCCAGGATGCGCGCACCAGTGAGAGGCCCGAGGCACGCCGTCGGGCTGCCCACCCCAAAGCAGAGCTCAGGGGCCCCGGGTGTTCGCTGGCAGGAACAAGGATATAGGGGTGGGCGCAGGGCCGCAGCGTGTCTCGACCGCGTGCTTGGCTCCCAGGCCGGGTGGGCCCGAAGCAGAGGCGAGCTGGTGGTCTGAGAACTGCTTTCCCCCAGAGACTGGGCGGGGCCGTCCCGGGGCCACAAAAGTGGTAACGACAAGTCGCGAAGCCCGGGGAGGAGGCCGGAGAAACTAGCTCGCGGAGCAGGAACTCTCCCCCAGCCCAGGTCGGCGCCCGCCTCCCGGCCCTGCGCTTCCACCTGAGCCCACCAGGGCGGCGGAACGCCGACGCGACCCCGATCGGTTCCCGCGGAGGTGCGGGGCCCGCGTCGGTACGCACCTGGCCAAACACAGACCGCACCCAAACCGCAGCCCTGGGCGCAACCCGACTCCATCGGGGACCCGAGACCACGGGGCCGCGTGCGCACCTCCGCCGGAAGGCGCGGGGGAGCCGGGAGGCCGCACTGCCGCGTCATCCCCAAGGCCGGTTGCCCGCCCCACCCGGGTTCTAGCCCTGCTCGCCCCGGGGCGCCCGCCTCCACCTCTCTCGCCGGCTCCGGCTCGGCCCCGCCCCGCCCGGACACTCACCTGCGCCGGCTCCGGGCTGGGCGCACCGCCGCCTCCCAGCTCCGCGCGGAGTCCACATGGGAAAAACAAGACAAAAAGGGCCCTGGTTCGGAGGGGGCCGGATGGACGGAGCCCGGGGCACGTCCCGGCCGAGGGCGGCGCCCCGAACCTCCACCGCGCTACGCGGGAGGAGGCGGCGCCCGAGCAGGAGCCCGGCGGGGGAACAAAGAGGAGCCGGGATGGGGCCGCGCGCTTCCTGGGTGTCGGGTGACAGGTCTGCTGGGGGAGGCCCCGGCTCTGCCACCTGAGGAGCCGCCTCCGCGCGGCAGGCGGGGCAGGGCCGGAGAGGCACGGGGGCCCCGGAGGCCGAGGGGAAAAGGGTGCGCGGCGCGCCCGGGACCGCGCGGCCGGAGAGAGGCCCGCCGGCTCCGGCGCAGAGGTGCGGGGACTCGACGGAGGGCAGAGATAATGACTCTGGGAGGGTTTACCGCCCCCTGAGCCCCGCCCGCCCCCCGCGCCGCGCCATTGGCTCAGGTGCCGCGAGGCGGGGAGGGGCCGGGGGCGGGCCGGGGATGATTCACCTTGAATGTGGCTCGGGTTGGTGCGCCGCGCAGGGCACGCCCGGCCCGGACTGCGGAGGCGCCGGGGGCCCCGCCTGCTGGCCCAGCCCCGCCGGCTCCGGCCGCAGGGGTCTCGCCGCCCGCCTCCTAGCCCTGCCTCCTCCGCCCTAAGGCTAGGGTGCCGCAGGCCGCGGTGCGCCCCGACGCCCCGCCACCCCACCGCCCTCTGAGCCCGGAGCTAGCCGAGGTGTGTGTAGAGTAGCGTGCTTGGAAACCCGACCCTGTGCTGGGGGAGGGGACGCGCGTCGGGCGCTGGGACGCGCTGTGGGGCCACCGGACGGATCTCCGCAGTCTCCCCCGAAGAAAGGTGCGCAAGGCTGAGTTGTGTCAGTGGGCCCACCCGGAGCCAGGGGTACAGGGCTGGAGCGGGGACGGCAGGGCTCCCCGCTGCGTCCTTACCACTACGCTTTTTCAGCTCTGCGGCCTCACAGGTGTCTGGCCTCTGCGCCGCCGGGAACAAAGGCTGCCTGTCCCGGAAGGGGGAGGGGGAGAGGAGCCGCCCCCAGACCCGTTTCCATCTCCCTTCCTTCCCCCCCACCCTCTGCGGCAGAGGCTCCCCCGGGAGGGGGCGGGGCGGGCCTGGGTTGGGGAGCGGACGCTGATTAGATACTTCTCTGCGGTCCTTTGCTCCGGTACCATCCGGAGCATTCCGAGGGGCGGGGCAGGGGCTGGAAGACAACCAGGCTGTCAGCGTCGGGGTGGCCCTTTCCTCCTTCCCCAGCATCCTGAGCACCGAGCGCCTCCCCCCACCCGCTGCTTTGGGCGCCCTTCCCAGTACCAGCCCCTCCTGGCCTCCCCAGACGGCAACCACAGTTCAAAACCAGATTAAAATAAAACGTTAATCCGTCCTCCTCCCTTTTAGCTCCTGTTCTCCCTATCGAACCTCGCAGGTCTGGCGGCTAAGAAGCCCCCCAAAAGGAGGGTGCTTAGCCGAGCCCCCCCCCCCACCAAATCGAAAGCTCTCTTGTATTAAAATTGGAGACCGTTAGCACGTTGTTCTGGGCGCCAGCGAAGAAAGAGAGTAGGCAGTGGTGATGGGGGCCAGGGTCCACGGTGTCCACTACCCCAGCCCTCGCCCAGCCGGGAGGGGCAGCCAGAGCTGGTGCTGAGACCAACACTTGAATAGGTCCGACTCCTGGGCGGGGCCTGCTCCGCCGGCCCTGGGTGTCGCAGCCAGAGGAGGAGGCAAGATCCCCCCACCCCAGGCGGACCACCCGGGCGAGTCGCGGGGCCTCGGTGTCCCTCTTCAAGAGTACCCCGTGATGAGGCGTGGTGCGCCAGGACCCAGACAGGGGAGATCTCGAGCAAAGAGCTAGGCCCAAAGGGCCGAAGGGGGGGCGGGAATCGTTCGAACATTAACCCCTCCCGGGCCGGCTCGCATTCCCCTGCCTAGCCCCGTCGCCCTGAACTTCCCTGGCTCCGTCCCCAGCCGCGCCCTACCTGCTCCCCGAGGGTCGTGGGATGCTGGGTGGTGGGGACGCGGTGTGCCAGGAACCGCAAAGTCTAAGCGCGGGCAATGCCGGCTGCGAGTGGCCCCCGCGGCCTGTCGCACCCCCTTTATAGCGCGCGCCCCGCCCCCCGTGCCCGGCGCGCCCCGCCCGGGCCCATTCACCTGCTGTTGAGAACTAGACACCGCTCAGCGCAAAGCGAGCCACCCGGCAGCGCGGTCCGGCCGTCGGGGCTGGCGGGGCGGGGGCGCCTCCGAGACGGATCCAGTTTCCACCTTTTCTTAAATGCGCTGCTGAAAGTTGAGACGGCCCCGGCCTCAGGAGCCAACGAGGCTTTCTCCCCCCCCCCCCCGCCCCGTGGCTCCCCGCGCACCCCAAGGGCTCCAACCCCACTCCGGGAGGGGACGCGAAGCTGCACCTGAAGGGCCTCATACATATTTTAGGGAGCAGGCCAGTAACCGGAGCTGGACGCGGACGGTGAGAGGGTGGCCCCCGGGGACCCGATACCCTGTATCCCTTTCGTTTCGGGGCGCAGGCGGGGGAGGAGATGGCTCCGGACGACCTCAGGTCCTCACTTTGCTGCCCTGTCCTGCGCACCCAGTGCCCTCCCTCAGCAGGTCGGGCGCCTCTCCTCCTCCCTCCGGAGAGACCTTTTCTGCCTCTCCGTCAACATCCCACGGTGCCCGCGACGCGCGGGTTTGGGTTCCTCTTCCCTCGGGTCAGTTTAGGAAGGACCCCTAAACTCGGGCTATTCCAACCTGGAAGATCGCGCCTGAACGCGGCCCTTCTTTCTCGCTGCCGGTGCTTCGGCTTGTTTCTCTGGCCAGCTTAGTTCTTTGCCTCCCCCGGCCCCACCTGTTCCCTAAGCTCGCCCTCTCCTAGGAGGTCTCCGTTGTGCTGAAGACGTTGAGCGAAGAGGTCATCAGCCTTCGGCCTCCCCTCCCTTCTCCCTGTGCGGGGCAGGAGGTCTGGGCTGCAGCCCTCCTCCCCCCAGACCCGCCCCCAGCGGCGGTTCTGTCCTCGGCCTCGCTCAGATTGGTCGGGCCCCCGCGCTGACCCGGGCGCTAGGTCCAGGACACGAGCCTAACTCGCATTCCGCAGTGAGGCGGGCCCCAGGTTCAGGTCCCCGCGCTCTCCAGGTACCGGCAGCGCGATCTCCAGCGGTTCATTTCACCTCTCAGAGCCTCAGTTTCCCCATTTGCAAAATGGGTATCATGACTCCCACCTCTCAGGAGGACAAAGAAAATGCACGTTTGGGCACGGGCGTATTTGGGGACCCGTAGATCTCTGGCAAACTACAGAACCCGCATTATCGCCGGGCAGACCGTGTACCCCCCACCCCCCATCCCACCACCCCCGCAAGCGCGATGCCTCCTGAGTGCTAGTGTCCGGCCACCAGATCCCAGGTTCCTCCTGCTGCCCCTGGAGATGTCACCACTGTCATTTCTCCACGCCTGGAGAAGTGTTGGGGGCTAAGGTCCACTCGATTGGTGAATTACTGTCTTCCTATCTTGGCCCAGCCCCAGGCCTAGGGGCTTTGTTCTAGAATCTAAATGTCCATTGGTCGATGCTTGCAGGGGTGCTTGAAACCCAACGATTCCCCCATTTTCCACAAAAAAAAAAAAAAAAAAAAAAAAAAAAACGGTGTGTTTGTGCGTCTACGTTTTCCTTCCAGCGGCATGAGGTCCGTATACCCATAGCGAAGGGCCTGGAAACCCAGAGATTCAGCTCCTGGCTGCAGGCAGGGACAGCGAGGGCAGGGGTTGATAGGCAAAGAACAAAAAGAACAGAGACAAGACAAATGAAAGGCGATCCTATCAGAGGAATCTACCCCAGCCCTTAAAAGGAGTGAGGAAAATATATATGGCCAGAATATATCTTGGGAAATATCCTGGATGTTAGGTGAAAAGTGCAAAGGACACATGGGCTTCCGTTTGTGTAAAAATGTAAGTGGGGGGTGGGTGTCTAGGTGTCAGGTTTTCTCTACAGACACCCGAGACACAAATAGGGGTGGCTGCCGAGCGGGGGAATTGGGGACCAAGGGGCAGAAGACTTTTTTTGCTTTATGTCTTTCGGGACTGTTTGAAGTGTATGTGTTTACCATATGATCATAGTAAAATTTCAATTAAAAAAGAAACTGTAGAAATTGCTTTTTTAAGATTTTATTTATTTATTTGAGAGAGAGGGAGCAAGTGAGCATGAGCAGGGGTGAAGGAGGGCAGAGGGAGAAGCAGACTCTGCTGAGCAGAGAGCCCCACATGAGGCTCAATTCCAGGACCCTGGGATCATGACCTGAGCCGAAGGCAGACACTTAACTGAGTGAGCGATCCAGGTGCCCCCAGAAACTACTTTTTGAAAAATCTGATTCGGGATGCTGAAGCCTGAGGAATTCAATCAAAGAGGGTGAGCCAGAGGTTTAAGTGAGCAGTGGTGCTAAGTGCTGGGCAGGGGCTTGGGGGAGGGGGGTCCCAGGGTTCTCAGATCCTGGTCCATGTGGATCCTGTGTCAGGGTCACTCGCCACCCCGGGAGGAAAGCAAGTGTGTGTGTGTGTGTGTGTGTGTGTGTGTGTGTGGCCAGTACGTCATCCTTGCAACATTCTGTCTCCTACTTTCTCTTACCAGGTGACACTCCAGCTGAGTTTGGCCCCTGGCCAAGGCTGGAGCACCACCCCAGAGATGTCCTTGACCCAAGTCTATGAGAAGGCGGCTGATGGGGATAGGGGACTGAGCACTGGGTGGGTGCTCAGGGCGTGGGATTTGAGTCCAGCCTCTGTTTCCTCCTGTGTGGGAGAAACGGAGGACACTCGCCCCACTTCCTTCCGGAGGATGGGGCAGAAAACTGGAACATGGCCCCTGGAAAGAAGCCCTGTTGACCAGAACTCAGCTGGGGCCCCTCCAGGGCTAGAAACCTAGCATCCCCACCCCACCCCAGAGCCCGGCAGTACAGCGCCCGCCTTCGGGCATCTGTTGCACCCAGAAGAACTGTCCTGCAATGCACCCACCGGTGGAGCTAAGGTCCCAGCCCCCAGGCCTGGAGATGGCTCCAGGGCTCCAGGACTCCAGAGCTCAAAGCGCAGAGGTTCTAAGGAGAGAGGCTGTGTCTGCAGTTGGTTGGGGAGGCATCTCACTGCCTTCAGCAGATTATCCAGAGGTCGGTGACCAAATACGGTATTATCCAAAGCAGAATTCAGCTTGTCCAAAGCAGGCAAACGCTTTGTTTTGGGATGTATCAGAGTTAGGATTTAATTGTCTCAAATTAGAATAATCTGCATTTTTAATCACCTATCTCGTGGGTGCTGGGCCCCTCCCTGACCTTTTTCTGAGCCTCAATTTCTTCTACTGGAAATTGGAAGCTTACCCAAGTCAGAGGACTGGGGAATTGAATAACGAAATGTTTTTGCAAGCTTTTTGGAAACAACAATGGGTTTCTCCAGGGGACAGTTCTTTTAAGTCCCGTAGTCACCAAGTACATGCAAGGGGGTCAGGTTGTCCGCCTTTGTGGAACGGCTTTCTGTGTGTCTCCTGCCCGGGCAGGGAAAGGTCTTTTGCCTGAGCACCGGCTGGCAGCTGGACAGCGGGCGATGCGCCGGGTTCTGGGGCTTCGCGTCGCTTCCTCGCTCACTCCTAGCTGGCGGCGTCTCCCCGGGCGCACCCACTGTGCCCCGCCAACGCCTCCTCCAGGCCGTGCGCCCCGCCGGCCCAGGCTCAGGGTGAGCGTTCCTCTCCGCCTCCGCATCTCCGCAAGTGTCTCCTCTTACTTGTCTGCCTTGGGGTCTGTTTGGTTTACCTCCCACCCACTCGGACCCTACTGGGGCTTCAGGGGTTGTCGGATCCAACCCGTTTTCCGCGGGAGGGATCAGGGGCCCAGCAAGGACCTGAATCCGGACCAGAGCCAGGACCAGAGAGCCCAGTTCTCTGGACCCAACCGGAGTTTTTTCCACGCCACTGTGTGGGGAGAACTGGAGCTGGCCATTAAGAAAGAAATGCTGAGGGACCCCCTGGAGGAGGGCTCGTGTCTAAGAATCGACCCAGTCCCCTGAGGGCCTCTAGCCTAGTGGCCCCTGAGGGCGCCTCGGGAACTTGAGATTTTCCCAGGACAAGCCTGAGGAGCGGGTACCGGGCAAACGCTGGGATGCTAAGAAGGAAGGTTCCCCCATTCCCAGGCTGCAAGCTGACAGAGCTTCCTGCAGGGAGATGATGCAGGGAGGCGGAAGGGTGGAGAACTGGCAAATGTGGAAGAGAGGAGGGGCAAAAGGAGGTGGGAAATGAGCAGTTTGGGTGGAGGTTGGGGGGTACTGCCCATCAGGGATTCCTGAGGCTCTTTGCAAAGCTCCACCAAGAACTTGCCCCTGCGGGCCCTCCAGAGACGGATGACAGCCGAGGGAGGGCCTGACCCAGGTGGTTGTAGCCCTGCCTGGAGGTGGCAGGGGTCCTTAAGAAGCAGATTCTGGCCCCTATCAAGGGGTTGGAGGTGCTCTAAGCATCCTGTAGAGCTGGACAGGGATGGGTTGGATGACGGAGGGGAGGGGGGTGGGATTGCCTGCCCCGGCTTTTAGCATGAGTACTGGTAACACAAAATGCAAACTCCAAGAGAGAGGGGACTACATCCGTCTGGCTCACTGCTGTACCCCCATGCCTGCCTCTCAGAAGGTGCTCCACAAATATGTGTTGGAGTGAATAAATGAGCAAGGTACAGCATGCAGTCCCCCAGGGGGCCTCAGGGTCCCTTCCCCCCGCCCCCCCACCCAGCACGTGGAGAGCCTGCAGAGGAGCCGGGGCAGCTGGACAGTGGCCAGAACCATCCCAGACCTTTCTCTCTGTCACAGTCACAGCTGCCTGCTTGACTTTACTCCTCCATGATGACCGGGGCCATCTCCAGGGAGGCAGAAAGGGCTCAGCACGACCTCTGGGGACCTTCCCTCCCCTCCTTCCCCTATCTCAAGGACATGGGCTCTGGACATATCAGTTCCAGCTCTAGATTTCAGTTTCCTCATCTGTCGAGTATGAGAACTGGAAGGAGCCCTAAGAGCTATGTCTGCTTTTCCAAAGCTGATCTGGAAATACCAAATACCTTCCCTTTCTTCCGTCATCCCTTCATTTTTCTTGAGCAAGACACAAAGAAGAAGTATGCTGTAGCCATTCAAATGGAGGTGGATGAGCTGGGCTGGATTTGGGCAAGAAGAGCCCCACTGTGTGCTGCAGTGGTGCAGGGCAGCACAAGTCCCACATGCTCCTGATGTCACATGCTCCTGATGGTTAAATGAGTACATAGTATGCCAAGAGCCGAATCCCCAAGTTCTGGACTTTGGAGCATCAAACAGACTGTTTGGGCCTTTGAGGAGCTCACATTCTCTCTGAGACAAGGGTGTGAATGCTGGGTAATGCTCCAATTTCCACTTTCAAGAAACCAAAGCTGGCCTGAAACTCTGCTTCCAG